GAAAAGCCCAATCTCAGTAAGCCTACTTGTCGGATTGAAAACTATTCAGAACAAAATTGACTCCGGATAGGCATTTTGATGTCATTTGTGACAACTGCCAAACTGCTCATAAAGACGATAATGAATAAAAACTGAAAATGTTCATGCATTTCCAAATGGTTTCCTACCATTCCCATATATTCGAAAGTGACTGGCCTTCTGGATGTGGATGATGTCAAAAACAACAAAACATGATTAATTGAGTAGATGGGACTTTACATACTTTTGGCTTCCCACATAGTATCTAGTTGGGTGAAATAAACTTTTTTTCCTTGATTTGTTTTCCGTACTGCGAACCAATGCTACCGACGCCCGAGAAGAAGCTTCCACACCCACCCTTCGTGATCAGAGATTTTGTACCTCAAAAAATCCCGGCGGCGCTTGAGATATAAACTTAATTTTGATTATTTTTTTTTTTTTACCGTGAGGTTAAACTTTACTCAACAGTGAGTTGTTTTTGATAGCCTTGTTACGCTCAATTTACAGTGTACTAGTCACCTTTCGCGTCACTCTATAGAGTCCCTAGTGTCGGGAAAAATCGTGTCTTGGGGATAATTGACGAGTGCACGGATGGATTTGAGTTCACTCACTCGACAAAAAGTGACACAACAGCGGGGCCCTGTTTACTAAAAATGAACACATATATGTTCATTTTTAGTAAACAGGGCCCCGCTGTTGTGTCACTTTTTGTCGAGTGAGTGAACTCAAATCCATCCGTGCACTCGTCAATAGAAGAGTGAACCATATTGTTAATTTATAATATTTGCTGTTAGCCTTGAGAATAAATGTACTAGTGAATAAATCATGTAGTGTCGTTTTCAAACTAAAATAAATTCGTGTATTGTGTCAAGAGTATGTTTGATTGCTGCATGTGAAGAAGGATTTGCCGATGACAAAGATACAGAAAGGATAAGGATCAAGGAAGGAAAGGACGATTCGTTCAATAAGGAAGGAGGTACGTTTTCTGGTGAAGGTCGTGTGGAGGTCGAAACCAAATCGGTCGGACAGGTCTCCGACAGACAAAGTTGAGAAGAAGTTGTTAGCATATGGAAACAACAAGCTGAACGTGTTGGGTATGTTTCTAGCTGACATCGCAACGAAACAGTCTTCTGCCAGTGATAAGATCTTCGTCGTCAAGGAATCTGGATCCAACCTACTAGGACGAAGAGCAGCAACCGATTTGGGAATACTGAAAATCAAGGCAAGGATTGGGAAATTGAAAGGAGTGGTGGTGTCAATTAAGGTAGACCCTACGGTGAAACCAGTTCAGCAGACGCAAAATCGTATTCCAATTCCACTGCTACCGAAAGTCGAGCAGGAGATAGCCAGATTGCTAGAACAGGATGTAATCGAAAGAGCCCCACATGATTCTCCGTGGAATCGTCGTTCGACCAAAGCCAGGTAACAACGATTAAATTCGCCTGTGTGTTAACATGCGCGATGCTAACCAAGCGATTGTGCCGCAGCATCATCCACTGCCAACCTTTGATGACATCGTCCCCCATCTACACAACTGCAAGGTGTTTTCCAAAATCGAACTTAACACGATCGATTACTACCTACGCTACGCACCTTTGGAATTAATTGTGCAGCCGAAGTGTTCCAAAGCGTAATGGAGCGAGTGTTGGCGGGGATTCCAATCATCGGATCATTCATCGACGATGTATTGGTGTTCGGACCGGACAAGGCAAGTCATGACAGAGAGTTGAAAGCTGTAATGGAAAGGCTGGAGGAGAGTGGACTAACCGTCAACATACAGAAATGTGAGTTTTCAAAATCTGAAGTGAAGTTTATGGGACATCAGCTAAGCGACAAAGGCATTAGTTCGGCAGCCGAGAAAGTAGATGCAATCCGCAAGTTCCGTTTTCCTGAACCCGTGGAAGAACTTCGAAGCTTCTTAGGACTAATCAACTATCTCGGTAAGTTCATCCCTAACTTATCATCTCCGACTGCTCCGTTGAGGGAACTACTGTGCAAGGAAAATCGATTCAAATGGGAACCCAAACATACTTTGGCTTTCGAAAAAATCAAGGATGCCAATCCACGGAATCTTGGGTATTATTCGCCACACGATGAAACCATTTTGATCGCTGATGCTAGCCCCGTGGGTTTGGGAGCCGTCTTACTCCAAGACGGCACTCACTTTTTTGGTACTCTCTTCGGTCCCACGCTAATCGATGCACCCCTCGAAACATAGGAAAATCCACGAGCCCCTCATTTTATCTGTCAAACTTTCATAGCGAATCAAAACAAACATAGTGTTGTCCTAGAATTTTGGCTAGAATGGGGTACGTTAATCGATTTGCTTAGAACCAAGAGGCTAGTCAAGCTAGCAATGCTGAGTTAAACTTCAAGTTACTATTAATTTGTCATTCAGGGAATCGTTACCCTCCATGGTATATTCCAGATATTGTTCTCGGAGATGAACCAGCCTACGGCTGAAAATCTCCTAAATAAAGAAAGAAAAAAAAAAAAAAAAAGATATTGTTCTATATGGTAGAAATAGTATTATAATCGGATGATGAATCTTATGGTGATTACAACCGGAAAGGAACATTCATAATAGTAATGATACATCTTATGGTATATCTCTATTCGGGTCATCGATATCTATTTGATATGGATGTGCTTATTTCAGAACTCTTCTCGCACTGAAGAAACTCGAAGCTAACTTCGAAGATGCCATCAGCGAGACCATTTAGCAAAGTTTGGCCAACTTTTACCGACAAGGGTTTATTTGATAAATACCACGCTAAACAGGTTTGGCCCCTACCTTTTGCAAACGCTGGCTTTTCACGCTTGGGCTGTGATACGTATTTTTGGAGATTTGCGTTTGTTAGTAGGGTGTGTGTGTGTGTGTGTATGTGATAGAGATTTCTGAAAATATGGGATCTTTCAACTACTATGCACAATACTGCAACACTACTTCAATAACTTTTTCTTCTTCATGTTGTTAATTGAGATTCTAGGCGTGAGTCTGAACAATTCTTTTACCGGACAGGGAATCGAACCCGCCACCACCGGCATGGCATGCCTCGCCTTTGCTGACTGGGCTATCAGCAAACCTCTCCGCTACAATTATGTGATGTGAAAAAATCCCCAGATATGACATCATTATACAGGTATGCCAAATTTTGAGCTCTCAATCTTTAAGAGCAAACTAAAAAAAAACACCGGTTTAATCGAGGGATTTTCATTCAAGAATTTAGGTAGACGGTCTTATCCAAAATGATTTAACATTCAAACATCACATAGTATTGGTTTATTTCTCATAATTGTAATAACCCCTTATTTAATAATCTTTTAGCTTAGACACTACCTTAAAACTGAACACAGTTGAGCTTGCGTTTTCTCTCTTTTTTTTCTTGATTGAGCGTAATTCCTTGGTATATCAATCTCTCACTACCTTGTTCAGCCAGCCGTCCGGCAATCTCCCGGAAAATGTTTTCCACATTCCGCCCGGTTTTGGCCGAGGCCTCCACAAACAGCAGTCCCTGCTGCTTTGCGTAATTGGATGCCTCTTGAAGCTGGACCGCACGGTTTTCAGCTTTATCCACTTTATTGCCCACCAGTGCGATAACTGAATCCTGAGTGGTGGGCCCCTCACTCAATTCTTCCACCCACTGCTTAGCTGCTGTGAAACTATCTTTATTCGTAATATCGTAGACCACCAGGACCGCCCGTGCATTCCGGTAGTACATCCGAGTAACGGACACAAAGCGATCCATTCCGGCCGTGTCCCATATTTCCATCGAAATTCTCTTCCTTCCCACGTCAATGGTGTGAATGATTCTCGTCGCATATAGAGTCGCTTTACGCGGTTTATTCGATTTCACCAGATTGGATAACAAGAAGGATTTTCCAACGGCCGTTTCACCCAGCAGAACCACTTTATATTTGTTGTTCGAGATACCTTGGTTGGCGGGTTTCCAATTTCTCGCCATGTTTAAAATCGAAACACGCTTTAGTATGATTCTGCGATACAGGGATGTGCTGCCACGCGTACCGTCCGGTGGGTTTTTGCAGACTGGCTAGTGGATTTTAATTTTCGGTTCCATCGCTATGATCTGGACATGTCGTCGTGCAGAAGCAGATTTCGCGTGGAATTGTTGGAACGGTGTTGGTGATCGTTCCGTTCAAGTTAAGCTGAATGTGAATATATTATTTTATTTTTGGAAAAACTGTTCGAACGAAAACGAGAATATGGGTGAATCTCACTTTATCATACACATTCCGGTTGCACGTTGTTTTCCTAGCTGTGGTTGTTTATTAAGGCACACAAATGTTGACTTTGATTCCTTCGGATCACACGGATCACACATATCTTCAAGCATTCCAACAAATTAATGAAAATGGTTTCTATGCTTATTGGCCAGCAGATGTCACTACTGTTGTTTTGTGGCGACATCTATCGGAAATTACGCATAAACTGTTTTCCGTTAGTTGTAATCAGAGTTACAAAATCAAGTAATCTCAAAAATATTGTTTGAGTTCCAAATTTGAAACCATCAAAAGTTCGGAAATTTGAAACCATCAAAAATGAAACTGCGACACGATCAGTGCAGCGCACTTTTAAACGGTGTTCGATAGTTAACCCTACACACTTAAACAGAGATCCTGAGTTCGGTAAAAAAAATTACCGTTTTAGATCGGTAATCCTAAAAATTACAGATATTTCGGTATTTTCTCGCTCTATTGCTGAAAACTGTAAATAAAATTACCGAATTTCGGTAACTTCATTTCAATTCAACGAAAACGGTAAAAAAAAACCGGCAGATTTGTAAATCAGCTTCATCACTGACTTCGGTGAAATATTTTACTGAAGTTTCGGTAAACAAACCGTTCCATTACCGAGTTCGGTAATTTTCACAGCGAGAAACGTCAAATTCGCCATATTGTGATTTTCGACCTCTTAAAAAAAGTTTGTAAGTGGAAACTGGTGAAAAATTAAAAGTGCAATGATGGAGGCTATTATGGATCAGCTGCAACACCAAGACGAGCGAATCGTAGATATTTTCCGTAAGTAATGATATTTCGTTATCTAAATAAATACCCATTGTTACAGATGGCCGATGCTGTTGCTTGTTTTTTCTGTCGGTTGCAAGTTCCAGGTTATGTTACCGGACTGCACCGACACATCAACGACCATATAAAAAAGAAAGATTTTATACCGGCAAACACAATTTTTGATTGTACATATCAGAAATGTGATGCAAGATATGGAAACTTCTATTCTTTAAAACGCCATATCATTGAGAAGCATCCACTTGTAAGCTTTGTTCCAGTCGGCAGTACTACGAAGGGAAACGATCTACTCGGGGAAACTCTTTTCATCGGCCATGAAATGCCTACTCAATGCGATGAAGCAAGTTCTACCCGTGAATCAGAGACATCAATGAATGAACTCAAAAAAATTATTCATCTGAGTATTTGTCGTATGACCTCAGACGTTGGACTGCCACAAACTAAAATTTCTGAGTTCATAAAACTTTGCGATGTAATCGTACAGCACATTTGCAACTACTTGGAAAACGAAACATTGCGTTTTATCAATTTCCATGTCGAAGTTTTTTCTCCAGAAGTTGAAATTGCTCTTCGGAACAAATTTAAACTGGTTCAGCTGTTCAACAAAGTCAATACCTTCCCTAAACAGTCCAAATACCTAAAGGAGCTCGCGGTTTCGACACCTATCCCTAGAGAAATTTTTTTGAATCGTCGAGAGGATGTGCGACACGTAAACGCAATTCCAAAAAAGATTCTGGTGAACGAAACGGCGTCATACATCAGTATCATAGACAGCTTGAAATTTATTCTACGTGATCCCAAAACAAGAAAGTTGTTGAAAGAAACTGATATGGATGCGGCGAAGACTCATTGCGTTAATGAATACAGCTCTTTTCGATCAGGCCAAACGTTTAATGACAAAGCAATATTTCTGGATTATCCTGATACGGTTAGAATCAGTCTCTATCAGGACGATGTAGAGTTGGGAAACGCATTCAGCTCGAGAGCGGGTATAAACAAGATTTCGAATTTCAGCTTCAAGATTCAGAATTTTCCCGATAAGTGGAACAGTTCACCTCGAACAGTATTTCCACTTGTATATTGTACTACTGTTGACGCGAAAAAACAAGGATACCGAAAAATATTGCAACCTCTTATTGCTGATTTGAAACGACTAGAAGAAGGTATTGATGTTTATTATGGTCAGGAGAGATATGTCATACGAGCTGTGGTTACAATTTTCTGTGGGGACACATTAGCAGCTCATGAGATTTTTGGTTTGCTTGGACCAAGTGCAAAATATTTCTGCCGAATCTGTAAAATTTCGAGACAAGAATTCCATGAAAATCCATTACAAGAATTTCCTGGACGAAATCGCGATTGGTATGAACAACAGCTTGAAAATGTTCGAAACGGTTCAATTACCCCTAAAGAGTGTGGGCTGAAAAATACAGGATGTATTCTTAATGACTTAAAATACTATCACATCACAGACAACTTCTGCCTAGATAGTATGCATGACCTAGCGGAAGGCGTGGTTCCATTAGCCCTACAACTGGTCCTTGCACGATATTGTAAGTGAAATGATTTAAAAATGAACACCAAATACGTTAATAATCGTATTAATACATTTTCGTATGGGTACTCGGATCGTTGTCCCTTATCCTATCCCTCTCCTAATTTCACGGACGAGATGATCAAATACCCTGCTAAACACAGGATGCGACAAACATCATCTCAATCACTTTTGCTACTACGCGCTTTTCCGTTCTTGTTTGGCCATCTGGTTCCTGAGGAATGTGAGTTGATGAAAATGATTGGCCACCTTATCAATATTGTTCGAATAATAGTGTCACCGGTTGTATCGGAAAACTTGCTATTCCAACTGGAAGAACACATTGAATTCTTTGAACAAATATTTTACGCTAATTTCGAACGACGTATAAATAAGCTGCATCATCTGAAGCATTATACAACTTGTATTCGCAAAAGTGGAGCAATGAAGCAATTCAACTGTTTACAGTTCGAACAAACAAATAAAGTTTTAAAAACTCAAGCAAACACATGTAGGAATTTCAAAAATATTTGTTCGAGCTTAGCTAAAAGACAATGTTTCAAAATGATTGTCAATGTCCTCGATAACCCATGGCACGATAATATCAAATTCTGTTCCGGAAAGCTCGTGCCACGATCTGATTGCTTGAGTGAACAATATCTGGATGAGGGCATAGAGTTCGTTTACACTCCAAAAACTGTAACGCTCAACGGAATCGTTTTTAGAAAAAACCAACTGATTGGAATGAAGCAACATAAAAACGAATACTTCCCTACCTATGGCATTATACACGAAATAGTAATATCTGACGGCAAATTATCAGTCCAGCTACGTTTGTGTGAAACAAACTCGTACAATGAATTTTTCGAAGCTTACGAAGTTGAAGTGAGCAGAAAACATGAATTAACACCCTTTGAAGAATGCTTCACCCATGCTGTATTTTCATTTTGGTCCCCATATGGAAGTACAACAAAATACATTTCGCGTCGATTTTATAATCGCGATAATTAATATACATCTATCTGTAATTATCATTATTTATTATTAACTACAACTGTTGATCATATTAAAATATTATCATATTTTTCTAGGAAAAGAAGAAATCGACGACATAGAAACTTTTCTCTCTTTGGACGAAAATGATTTCACTCGACTTAAAATGACTACCAAAATGATTAAGATTGTCCAAAAACTACAAAATCATCTCCAAGACTACAACGAAGAATGGATCGTTGAAGAAGTAGAGATATCTCCGACCAATACGCAAACTGTCAATGCTGATGATACACCACAAAACGTTGATCCTAACGACCCGTACAAAGGCATAAGCTTGGACAATGTGAGTATTCAACGTGTTAGCTGTTCATACAAAGCAGACATTGTAGTTGAGGTACACCGGAGTAAGTAAAACCGTGGGGTAAGTGGGTAAAGCTATTGTAAATTTGAATGTTTAAATGGAAAACTCAACAAAGCCAATGTCATCAGCAGATTACGTCATTGGCTCTCTAAAGTTTTTCGTTTTATCGTACCCACACTTAAGCATTCAGGTTTACAAAAAGCTTTACCAATTTACCCTACGGTCTTACTTTTCTAGGTCAAAATGTGTTTAAATTCTATGCTTAAACTTATGTCACTATATTTCATTACTTTTTTAATGTATTCCAGGTGATTGATATTGACACCATCTTTGAGAAAACTAATGAAGGAATCACCATCATGGAGGTATTGAAAGAAGGATTGCGACCAAAAGAATCTACATTCAAAAAAATTAATGACATGCTATGCGACTGCTTGAAATCCGTGTATGGTTGGTAAGTAAATGTAACATATTTTTGCTTGTATGTCTACTGAAAATGAATTTTGTTATTTTTCTTCCTAGTCGCCCCAACCGTTTCTACAAAGACCAGATTGCCATTTCCCTTGTGAAATCCTATCCAATTCTTGCAGCCAAGGATGCGAAAGTTCCGCAGGTACCGTTAAACAATGTTAAATGGGACAAGAGAAACCTATGTATAGGTGATACGCCAATGAAATATTAAGAAGTGCACCTAATAACTTTAATATTATTGGTACAGTTGAAAACCGGAAATGTTGTGTTTGATGTACAGAACAAGAGTAAAATTGAATGTCACGTGTGGGTTTTTCCGGTGTCTAACTTGACCGACAATAATCATCAAGTGTTCGGTTGTGTACATTTTTCACGGTATCAAACAACACTCCCACGCAATTAGATGCAACATGTAACATTCATCTCGCTTTTTAAAATTTTCGGATAATGCTTATTGTAATTCTAAATGCATTCTATATGACGTCTTCAAAGCGTGATCAGAATGCATCATTATATCGCGTTCATTTGGTGCCCTTGATGAACTTAATCTTCATGAGTCTATGCACTGAACATCCATGAAAATTTATCGCAATCGTACCTGCATTTGTTAGTTCACTAATGATGAGAAATCCGCAACAAATTAATACAACTTTGGGTGTAGTACTTTACGCAATATTATATATGGAATGCATGACTGGTTGTGGGTGGCAACTTATTTTCATCTATCAAGCGTTCACCACTTAGGGTACTGCCATATACACACGACGCGCGACGCATTTGACATTACATTTGCCCACTAAGGCTTGCTTATAATAGTAGTATCTTTTATGTAGGCGTTGTGGTTCCATGCTCATGCTAGAGGACCGAATCGACATGCTGGGCGCATCCATTACCGTATGGAGTATTTGGCAAGGACCTCTGGAGAACGCGTTATTAAACGTCGGCGTACCGAAGAACAGCAAACTGAACCGCAGGCAATCGTAGGCTCGGATGCTACTCGTACGGAGGATGGGCCTCCTTCCAACATCGAGGAATTGGTAGGCCTAAAAATCCAACATGTTGTATAAATGACTTCTAATTTAACAAGGTTTATAGATACTCGAGTTGCAATACATCGTACCCAATCAACATAATAAACATCGTGTTCTTGAGCTCTGGAAGACTACTTTCTCTAAGCGACAACAATCTCGGGATGCTGATGAATTTCAACAGTACTTGCAAGCTTTTCCTGTTTCTACAGCCTATGATGGTGAATTGGTAGGTACATCCAAACGTGCTTATCACATGTTAAGATAAATAATCAATATTTTCAGATAACATTTGACTTCCAAATTTTGAAACCTGCTGCGACGTCCTTTGCTGACGAGTGGAACAAACTTGAAGGTAGAATTCTGACTGTACATCGAGCAATGTACAGGGAACTCACTAATGGTAATTTTGGCAGTTAGGTGTACACTAGAGAAGAGGAGACAATACGGGGGTGAAAAGGAACCACTTTACTGTCAAACGCGAACCAGCTCATGAGATATCTAGATACACATTTTAAAAGGTCATATCTGCATTGATCGATTCTCTTCATCGACTTTCTCTTCCGTTAATAACTTAGCTGCAAAACCTTTCCCTATTGTATTTGTCGATTTGGGTGCTAGATAAGAATTTTCTTCATCAAACTATGTTGTAAAATTAGCGCGAAATCTGTTTGCATAGCAGTGGTTATCAAAAGAGAAAGTCGATGAACAGAATATTATAGATAGTGCTAGAGATAGAGATAAAAGAGTAAGAAGCCAGTTGCCTCCTCTTCCTCTTAGGGTGTACACTGATATTTCAAGCTGAACATTGCATTAGGTCCTAAGTAACATTGACAGATTCTATTTGTCGACTTTCTTTTTGCATTCCCACGGTCATGTAAAGACATTCCCAGGTATTTTCAGCACAAAAATCGATAAAAGAAGCTTTTATCTAGCATCTAATATGACAAACACATCAAGAAATGGTTATGTGCTCAAGTTATTAATGAAAGAGAAAGTCGATGAAGAGAATCGATCAATGTTACTTAGGACCTAATGCAATGTTCAGCTTGATTTATGTTTTGTTTATAATGTCCATTTTCCTGCCTACTATAGATTTCGTTCGGGCCCTCGCTATTGTGAGATTCAAAAATTCATCGCGTGGATCCAAACGAGCGAAGACTGATGACGCTGTACTGAACAATCCCCTATCAGGTGTTGTAAAATGGATACAGGTGAGACGTATGGTATAATCAAAATTAGTTGCTTTAATAATATTTTTTTGTTCTAGCCCGAAGATGATTTTCCGCAGGATAGTGGAAGCATTCCACTATTGGTAGTGCGAGGAAATTTCCCTGATGTGACGGATGGATGTGCAGTATGCTGGGGTACCATTGCTATTCCCGTTGGCGACGATCTAAAAACAGCAATTGGGATCTTCATCCAATGCTTCCCTGTTTTCGGTGTAGCACTGAATCCTTCCGACAAAAACTTTTTTTTGTTCATCGGTGGAGCAGTTTTGAACATAAACACATTGACCACAACTGGAGCCAAATTTTTGCATGGATTGCAATAACTGCCAGCGCTACGTGTAAGTTTTGAGCTATTCGATTTACATAAAAAATGTCCGAAAGAATGAAATAAAATAATGACTAAGGAAAAATGTATTTAATTTAAATAATTGATAAAACCAAGAAAACACCTTGAAATAATATTAAAGCGAATTAAATTTGAGTCGGTAAACTTTTTTAAAAATTACAGATATTTCGGTAATTTTCATTTTCCATATCGACTCCAAAATTACAGTTCTCCGGTAAAATCAATTACAAACCAAGCTTGTTTTTTCGGTAAACGATACCGATCGTTCGGTAAATTTGACAGATAGTTTTGCTGATTCAGTTTACAGATTTTTCGGTAATGTTCTCGATTACCGAACACCTTACCGACCGTTCAGCTGTTGAGAATTCGGTAAATGAATTACCGAAGTTGGTAATTTTTTCTAAGTGTGTAGATATGTGTGCGAGTTCGAACCACGAGAAGTCGTCCCAGACTATTCTGCTGACGAAACACGTAAAGAAAGTATGATTGTTTATGAAGATCGCTGAGCACCTGATGGTCTTTGAAATAATTTCTGAGCAACCTGGTATCGTGGGTAAAAATCTGAGAGACGTGATTTAAATTGTTGGACAGTTGAAGATCTTCAGAATTATACTACATCAACCTGAAAACATGAGACAGCGCAATGTGGGCGGAAGCGGGACGGAAACGGAAAGTTTGACAGTTGTCACAAATGACATCAAGATGCCTAACCGAAGTCGATTTGGTTCTAACTAGTTTTCAATCCGACAAGTAAGCTCAATAATATCAAGCATGATATTTTGCTCCAATATCACGCGTTATATTGCGAGCCCATGAGAGCGGAAAATATCAATTGATTTCTTATTTTGCCCACACTTGTTGCGACGTCGGGTTGTTAAGACATACCCGGGAACGGACGGTCAGATGAGAAAGGTCGATGTTCAAACTTCGTCGGGAGTTCTACAAAAGCCAGCGATCAAAGTAGCCCTTCTGGACGTCCTAGATATCAGTAAGGCCAATCAAGGGTAAGACATTACGGGTCGGGGTGTTGCGGAATTTGGACGATAGGCACTTTTGATCGCTTCAGCATCGACTCAGCTCGGACGAATGAAAAAATATTTTTGATAGCGAACCGAAGTAAATAAACAGAATAACGCGTGCATTACAGATAAAGTATTTCTATGGAAGCACCAATAGAATTAGTTTAAACTTAGTGAATCGTACGCGAACGTGAGTACTTAACTGCAACTATTAAAATGCTTGATAAATAATTTGACCCATATCATCATTAGATAACCTAACCTCAAAACTAAATAATTGACTTGGAATTCTCACGAACCGAATTGTTACTGTTAGAAAACTAATTTGTAAGTCTAATAATTGTTATGCCAGAATGTAAATATAAAAACAGTGAAGTTGCGGAACACCGTACTACGGAAAAGTTTTGTAACGGCCCATCTCTCCTATAGTCGCTATATTCATTGTCTGGTGGATAGAATCTCGGGAGCCAATTGAACTGCCAAATAGCGGAACCAATCGAGCTAATCACGACCAACAACAGAAAAGAGCACATCAGCTATTGCGAACAAATCTTAGGAAACCCTTTTCTCGTGACTCAAAACTCGTCTACGCAAATTAACACCATCTTTGGGTTGGGGAAAGTTTCCCTTATCCGATGATGCTGGTAATTTGCGTTCGATTGGCGAAGAAAGAATAATCAACGTTTTGTTTATAAAAGTTGACAGTACTTTTTCAACTGTTGGTGTCTACAATATATTGAATTGGTTCCGCTTTTTGATAGATCGAAATTCTACCCACTTGACTATGAATATAGCAACTATAATCTCTCCCTCTGAGTATTTCTAGTAATGAACTAACGCATCGGAACAAACCTACTATTGATTTCTTCTTTCCTTTATTTAACGTCGGTCTCTGTTCCGCAATCTAGTGCCAATCACCGACGGACATCGATTGCCATTCATTGACGGCAATCGAATGTGCAGGAAGGCAGCTTCCACACCTGCGCAGGATATCGCACTCATTCAACACACATGGGCCGGGACCAACGGCTTTACTTCCCTTCCGAAGGAAGACGTGACCAGAGATTTTGATGCCTCAGAAAAATCCCACCGACCTCGACTGGGATTGAACCCAGACCCATTGGGGTGTTAGAAATGCTCTTTTCTGACGATAGAACGGAAATGGGCGATTACGACGAAGTAGCGACTAGGGTAGAGTCAAATAAGAAACATTTTACTAAATTTGCTCAAACTTCGTACAAATCCAGCCAATGAAGCTCAGAACTAGATTATTTGATCCACCATTTGCCAATATTTCGGAAATTCGAATGCACATACTGGACAGTTAAAGCACTTTAAAGTTTTTTGAATTGATACAAATCCTTCTCTCAGTCAAGATTTTTTGACGTAGAACTACGTCTTTGTCGACTATACTGGGGTGCAAATCAAAAAATATGTGCGGTGAAGTAGTGTTAGGTTTTGAACTCTTATAACTTTGTCATTTATAGATGAAATAAAAATCCAAATACGCCAATCGATAGGAAATTACTTTACGCATCTTTTGAAATAAATGCTTTTCCAATTTTCCATAAAAATCTTTTGAAAAATTAAATAATGATAATTTTATAAATATTTTCATGAAATAAATGTTTGCCCCAAACCCAGTCGTCATAATCGAGTACCACTTGGTTGCACATCGTTCTGCTTGAACCTGAAAAGGTATAAAACAGCGCTGCTGTCGTGCTTGTTCTAATTACCGCTTCGGACGGCGTAGTACTGGGTCCTGCAGCAGGCAGGAGCGAGTCAGTAGTTAATGTGGTTTACATCTATGCGGATTTGCTAGCGCTAGTGTACTAGCCAGCATAATGTAAGCAGGGCATGTGCTAGCTGGAAAGTACACTAGCGAGGTGGACTACAGTGTGATCACCTTGATAACCAGCGATGAGGTCGAAGAAGACTTGGGTTCATTTATACAAACCCATGTCTAAAACTGGCTACTTTCCTAAGGGTTTCCGGAAATTGGATCCTGGCTATTCCTAATAACTGCCATTGAACTGGTTGTTGAATTTTAATGATTCAATGGTTTCTGACCATATTCAGAAACTGGCCACTTGTCCGGAGGAATCAAAACATGGCCAATGTGTCACAGGGTCCCAAAATAAATACCATTGAACTAGTTTTTTTTTTCATTCTAATGTGATTTGAGGTGTCCCATGCTAAGTTTTATTCGTTTGAGGTCGCAATTAGCCTCATGCCTTATATAAACCGCAGAATGTTCCGCTCATATTTTTGGAACCGGTTGATCGATTCCAAAAATTATGTGCTTTATGTGACCATAATACCTTTCATTTAGCGACGGTTGTTTGGTTTATTACACTCGGCCTTGCGGGGTCTTAAGCATACAAATGGTACTTTATATAATAGGCCATCATGCATTTTTAGGCCCAGCCATGATTCAAATTCATTGCTGAATAAAAACGTTCAATAATATCCTATTATGAGAACATTATTCAATATTTTTTTGATAATTACTTTATTTTACGAGGCACAATCGAATAAACTTTACAGTGCCGAGATTTCTTATTCACTATACATTACATCTTAAAGCTATTGTCATGAGGTACAATACAAAAAATATTTTATCTTCAGCTATCCAAAAAGCTTCCTCCATTCACTTCCAGTGGTTTCAAGATATGGCAACATTGCCAAAGGGGGGCATTGCACGTCCACTGTAAAAATGGACGTAAATCGTGGTCTTCACTCACACACTCATCACGAAACGGTAGATGTGTCTCTTAACGAAAGTGAATAATCACTGACATTATTTCTGATAAAGTAGTTTGCGGTAGTACACAATACCTCGCAAAAATAATAACAGTGAATATTCACTTCCGCTAAGAGATACACGTACGTTGAACCATAACCGAAACATTGTAATACTTGAAAAATTTAAGATAAAGTATAATAGTTAAAAATAATGCACGACATACACCAATTTTGCGTAGTTCTACGTCATACTGCGGTCGTGTCTAGGACACAACCCTTAATATTTTTTTTTTAAGTTACAACTCAAACAAAGGGACCATTTTCAAAACACATAGATGATTTGATTGTCCATTGCTGTGTCCCGTTCACAATCAGACCGAACCCATCCACTAGAATGAGAATAAATGGACGTCAATGACCGCCCAAAAGACGAAACTGGTTTAGCTCTACATCGTCATTAATTCCCAGGTTAAAAACGAGAGTTCATCAGCAACAACGGAAAAAAACGCATCAGCCTCCGTCATCATTACGATCCTATCCCCATCATCCAATCAAGATCGGCTAAACGATCGTAAAAGCGCGAGAGACGCGCGAGATAGAAGCAAAAGCAGAAGAAGAAACACAAATGCGACGGCGGCGGCGGCGGCGGGGAGAAATGACGATGGTCGATGGCGCAAAAGAAAGCAAAAGTAAAGTTCCGTGTCAAGGTAACAGCAACCGTCCGTTCGCCAACGCACGATCGAGTCCGGTTCGATGACAACAACAACAACAACAACAACAATAATAGCCAGCCTAGCCCAGCATCAGTCGCCTCTCGCTGTAGCCTGATGACTGTAGCAGCAACAACATAGTAGGCAGGCAGAGTCATCGTCGATTGGCCGGCGTCGCGGGGTTTCCATGTTTACCAACCCAGTCAAACGGCCTTCTCCGATGGTGGATATGTTGGTCATGCATTTAGCATGTCCTCAAGGTAACATTTCGACAGAAAGAAAAAAAAATGGGATGATTTTGGGGGCTACAAAAGCACTACAGAGTTTGGCCGAGTCCGGTTGATGAGAGATATCGGTGATAAACGATTAAAGAGGCGGATTTATTCCCCCTGAACACCACAAGGTAACCATAACCTGTTCGCCGCGAAGAAAGCTTTTTACTACTGCGGCGCCTACTTAATGACCAAGTATAGTGGCTGATCGCTCGGAGCGATGGCAATAAT